ATGATGATGACTAGAAAACATTTTTAAAAACAAATATTTATTAATTAATTTTAAAAAATTTTTATTTTAAACCAGGGTTACGATCGACAAAAAAACGATTTAAAAGTACATAGGGACTAAATTTCCAAATAAAAAGTACATTCCAAATTAAATTAGAAAATATTTATTCGGGCTCAAATCTTTTATATTTCTCTCCTAAATGAATCTTTTCTAATAATTCCTTGTTTCCACTGAGCATTATGTGCATTTAACTAATCATTTATATATTATTTAAATATTACAAACAATATTCATTATAAATAAATTATTAAAAAATTTCAACCACAAATAGAATTTTTAAAATAATAAAATTAAGAACTATATTTATGACCCTTACACAATTATTAAATTGATTAAAAATTAAAAAAACACTTTTTTCAAAATATATACGTATATATTATTTCATCAGAAATTAAATAATTTTTTAAATTTTATCAAGAATTATTTCAATTTTATTTAATAATTTTAAAAATAAAAAAATTTTCAACATCTATGAATTAAAATTGACAAGCCTTAATTTAAATAAATTAAATTTAAAAAAACATTTCATTCTTAATTATTTTAACTTAATTAGATAATATTTAACAAACATATTTTTTTTTCAAAAAAATATTATTACATCAGAGATAAAAATAATTTTTTAATTTTATCAAAGAAAAATAGCAAATTCAATTAAATTTAAAAATAGAAATTCACACCATTTATAAATTGTAATTGTCAAAAAACATTATTTAAAAAAATTAAATTAATTAGATAAAATTTAAAAAAACCAATTTTTCCAATTTTTAAATGAATTAGATGATATTTTAAAAATAAATATTTTTTTCAAAAAATATTACACCTGATTAAAAGAAAATTTTAATTTTATCAAAGACATGAATTTTATTTAATAAAAAATTATTAATTCCATTTAAAACTAGAAATTTCCAACTTTTATAAATTGCAATGTCAACAAACACGATTAATCTAAAAAAATTGAAATTAATTATACAAAATTAAAAAACAATTTTTTTCAAAAAATTTTAATTTAATTAATTAGATAATATTTTAAAAACAATTTTTTTCAAAAAAATATTATTACATCTGAGATTAAATAAAAAAATTTATATCCGTTTCCAAAATAGAAATTCTTAACATTTAGAAATTGAAATTGTCAAAAACTCTATTAATTAAAAAAAATTTTTTAATTAATTATGTAAAATTTACAAAAAAATTTTTCAAAAAATATTTTAAATCTGGGATTAAATAAAAAAATTTAACTTTATCAATGACATATAAATTTTATTTAATAAATAATATAACAAAATTAGTCAAATTTAAAAATAGAAATTCAAACATTTATAAATTGAATTTATCAAAAAAACATAAATAATTTTTTAATAAAATTTAATTAATTAATAAAATTTAAAAAACAAATATTTTTTTCAAAAAAAATATATTGCAAGAGAGATTAATAACATTTTTTCTTATTTTATCTAAAAAATATATGAATTTTATTTATTAAAAAATTTAACAAGGTTAATTAAATTTAGAAAATAGAAAACTTGAAGTTGTCAAAAAAATTTTTATTTTTTTTTTACATTTGAAAACTGATTTTTTCGAAAAATATATGAATTTTTTTAAATCATGAAAATATTCAAAAATTAATTCTTTTGACAAAGCTCAGTTAATTTGATTAATACAAATAAAATGTATAAAAAAATTTTTATTACTAACTAAATTATTGAATTTAGAATAAAACATTTTTAATTAAGTGAAAATTATTTAACTTAAAAAATTACTTAAAAGAAAATCCAAATTATTTTTTTTTAATTCTCCACATCAAATCTATTCATTTAATTACTTAAAAGAAAATATAAATTACTTAAAAGAATTTAGTAAAAATTTAACATTATTATATGTATTACTATTATTCGAAAATTTTAAATAATTTTAAAAAATTTTATATCTATATATTGAATAATTTTTCTAAAATATCTACCCCTCGTTGATCCGTAGCACGCTCACGATTTGCACGTGCAGTTGTCGAGACACGAGGAGTTGGTGCGGCAATAACGTTGTTTGATGAGCTGCTGCTGCTGCTTGGCCCCTGCATCTCTCTTTGCATGGCCATATTTCCTAATAAAAATTAAACGAAATATTTTTTTCCTATTATTATTATTACCAATAGTAAGTACATTGTTTGCCGTGCCGCCATTTGTTCCCTGCATCTCTCTGTGATTGGCCACATTTCCAACTAAAAATTAACCGAATATATTTTTTTAGATTATTATTATTATTCTTATTACCAATAGGAATGTTGTTGTTGTTATCAGCGGGAGCTTGCTGCAAATTATTATTGTTGTTATTTACGTTGTTGTTGTTGTTTGGCCCAGTAATAGCAAATGCTGACGCACGTGTAAATCGCAAAACAAAAGGTACGGTGCCCGTCCACCGTCCTCTATTGTCCCCTTGTTCCACCACCGTAAGTGCGGTAAATGTGCAGATCTTTATAAAAAAATCATCTCAAATAAAAAATTTTTAAATTACCTCATTAACCCGGGCAGTCTCAAGAATAGCAGCGCATTGATCATAAGCATATATGCCAACAGTCTGAGTATCAGTGCCAAAGCCAAAACTAACACGAACGTCACACCGATCAAAGCTGCGTCTAAGAGTTGCACCACGATGTACAAATTGAACAACCCCAGTCAGAGAACTAAAATTTTTAAATTAAATTTTTAATTTTCTACACAAAAAATTACTTAAACACGTGATTTGTGCGCCACCCTGCAAAGGCATAATTGGAAGATGTCAGGCGATTGCGGATATCTATGAGTGGTAGAAGCATAGCCGCAGGCGGCATTTCAATAATATTAGCACGTGCCCTTTCAGCGGCTATTATTGCTTCCACCTTTATAGAAATAAAAAATTTTTTATTACACATAAAAAGAATTTTTATTAAAAATTAAATTTTTAATAACAAAATTAATTTAATTATTTGTAAAAATTACATCAATATTGTTGTTTGGTAAGTTATTGTTGTTGTTTAGTAAGTTGTTATTGTTGTTTGGTAAGTTGTTTGGAAAGTTGTTGTTGTTAATGTTATTATTTGCAGCTGGTAGAATATTAAGCCCATTGTCGATCCGAGCTCTATTAGTAGGTGGCGCATCAGAAGAATTACTAGCTGGTCGTCGTCGATTGGAACTCATTATTAACTAAAAAATTAAAGTGAATATTAAAAAATTATTTTCATAAATTAAATTGAAAACGGTGGGAGATAATAAACTTTAATTTTATAAAATATTTACAAAAAAAAAATAAATAAAATTTATAAAATGAAGTAATGAATTAATGAAATAAGAAGGGGTTCATTTTTGCTCCTTGCACAACCCGCCCATCTACTCGGAAATTTTGTAAAGTTTGACCCGACTGAGAAAAAAAGTTTTTAGGTCTTTTTATATTATAAACTTAATTGTTTTTAAATTTCCATCAATTTTTTATAGTCGGAAGTAACTTGTACTTCACACAATCTTTTTTACAAAAGGTTGACCGGAAAGAGAAAAAAGGAGCAAAAACCAACCCAAAAAGTCAACTTTTTTGAAAGATCAAAACTATTTAATTTTTAAAAAATTTTTAAAAATTACTTCAACTGTATATTTATCGATGCATGGCCAGCAATATCCATTTTCCTCACAATATAATTTGGTCTGCAACGGCACATACCCTCAGCACTATCGCAGTGATTGTCATAAGCGCCACCAGGATCGCAATCACTAGAAAAATATTTAAAAAATTAGTCGAATTTATAAAATATATTTAAATCAAAAATTTTAATTAAATTCATAATTAAATTTTAAAAAAATCCAACATTATGGATATGTTTCATAAAAATTTTACAAAAAAAAAATAAAGCCAAATATAAAATTTTTTACCAAGTCTTGCATCCATTAGGATCGTCAACACTTGGTCCATAATGTTCTTGAAGACAATGATCACATTGTTCTTCCATTACAAGAGCTTTACATGTACATTTTCCTGTCACTTTGTCCCAACCTTCATTCCCATAAGTCCCAATTAGATTCCAAGAACATGGCCGACAACCATCAGGATCTTCTTTTCTCATTTCTCAAAATCCATTTTTACATCGATCACAACTTTAGATAATTAAGAAAATTTGTTGTTTTCTCAATATTTTTAAAATTACTTTGGCCCATCAACATTGCTTTTGCAATAACATTTTCCTGCAAACAATCCACGTTCTGGGTCTTCTTCACCCTCACAAATTCATTCGAATTTAGAACCACTGTGACCGCAGTGGCAGGGTCTGCAGACGTATGGATCTCGAATGAATCTAAAAATATTGCAGTTAAAGAAAACCTATCAAGAATTATTCAAATTCCGAATTTTTTATTTTCGAAACCCAAAAAAAAAAGATCAATTACTTAAACAAAGTCAATGAAATTTTTAAATATCGGGACTTTGTAAAATTCAGTAAAATTAAAATATTCTCTGAAGTAAATAAATAATCCTCGTTTATAGAATATATTGAAAGGGGATTAGAAAATAAATATTATTATTAACTTTAATCTTTATTTTATCTAGATGTCCATAGTATATCCTTAAATCGCCTAAATATCAAATACAACTTTGCCAATTTTTTAAAAATTTTTACCTTTGAGGATCTCGATAGAAATTAGGTTTGCATTTCTCGCAGTTTTTCCCCATTGTGTTATGTTGACAATCATCACAAACACCTCCAGAAGAAAACCCAGAAGCATTATAAACTACTCAATCAAAATGGCAACTAAAAAATATTTGTTACACATTATTTTTAAAAAATTAATTACCGAGTAGCATGATCATTACATTCGCATCTTTTACATTCATTTGATTGATCTTCAATGCCTGGTCTCCATGGTGAATCGTTGTGAAAGTCTTCGCAGTCATCACTATTCATTCCATTCATGTTAGGAGTACATTCACATTTTCCATGTCCCATATCTGGCAATCTTAAAAGGTAAAAGTTGGGAGTGTTAACATTTATAGAATATTCGATGTAAAATTAAAAATATTTTTTGAAATAAAGATTCTGAACTGGTAAAGCTGTCCGAGTAGATCAAAATACTTAACAGACATTGTCTGAATATCATAGGAAATTATACTAATTACTATGCAGTTAGTATAGTTCAATTTAATAAATATAATTATTTTTATTACATTGCAAATATCAAAGGCAGTTGTTTCAAAAACAAGTACAGGACCTGTAGAGCCAATTATAGTTAGAGGCTGGCCACTGAACAAGTGATATATGATGCCACAGATCGCACCGCTAGCTAAGTTCTGCATTACTGCCTTTAAAAGAATTAAAAATATTCCTTTAATTAAATAACCATTCTTTGATGAGTAGCTTCTTCAAGAAGACCACCAAAAGTTACAATTGGGGCCAACAGTGCAAAATACATAAAACAAGTAGTTGCTATACATTGAAGGTTTGACGCATCAGTAAAATCGGATAAATAATGTGGGGCTTTCCGACTTCAAAAATTAAAATTTATTTTTAAATTAACACACCGAATATCTAACATTAAACCCCCAAACAATTTCCCAGTTCTGCGTAAACCCGGATCTTGACCGTGACCGTCCTCTTCTTCTAAATCAGTTACAATTAATAACATTAAAAATTATTTTTTTTAAACCTTTTTCCCAGCAAGTTTAGAACCTCCAATTCCACAAGGTAATCCAGTTGTGGAATCCTCAGTACTAGTTCCTGCCAATTAATTGAGGAAAATTTGTCACTTCCAGCTGAGGGCTTTTGCTAATAATTTTAAATTTTAATATATATATATAAGTATTCTAAAATGCACTAACTTGAATACGGCTCTGTTGATTAGGAATTGTACTAGGAGGCTCAATTCGAATGCTAAAAATTAAAAAAAATAATTTATATTTATTTATCAAAAAATTCCGACCTCGGATCCCATTCGCCGGTCATTAAACGGCCAGTGCATCTAAGACTTCATCAAACCATCTAGTAAATCCGAACGTTGTTTTGCCTTGTAGGCAACTTTATGGAATAACCACCACAAGTATTAAGGCAGCAAGTTCCCCGTCACTCCAAATTTGGTGACGGGGAACTTGGAGAATCTGCTAAAAAATTAAAAGTTGCAAACAATAGTTAATGCAAGAAAAAATTAAAATAAAACGGGCAAAATAAATCTAACTGTAAAATATCTGAAAGCAAAAGAATTGGATAAAAAATTTCTATCGATTTACTTAAAAACACCTAGTTGTTAAAGAGAGTATGCCCCTGCAGAAAGAAAAATATAGCCAAACATTTTTGTTCTTAGTAACAATGGCGAACAAAATAAAAAGTATAATATACATAACACCAAATGTTTAACACTATGCCAAATACATTATTTGAAAATTTTCCATTTTAAAATTGGCACTTTGAAATTTAGGTATTTTTAATCTTTTTCTTACTGTACACCTCAATTGAGTACCAACTCAACTGAGTCCCGGACCCTATAACTTACGAAGGAAAGGTCACTATTTTTTTGCTCTAGGTACCATTGGATAGAGCATTAAATAGGCTACTGGTAAAAAAAGTTATGATCTATAAAGTGACGAAAAATCAGATTTTTTTGAAAAAGTTAGTTTTTTAAATCATTGCTTTTTTTAACAATCAATCAAAAATTTTGAGTTTTTGGTAGATTTGGAAATTTGAACAAAGGACATTTAAAGTATTCAACAGTTCAATAGGAAAAAAGCTTTCCAATAGGTTCATGATGCATTAATAGTAAAATTGATTTAGCTTCTTAATAGCTTAGTTGGTAGAGCATCCGCCTATACAGAGAAGGTCGCCAGTTCGATCACTGCCGAGCGGCTTTTATTTTAAAAGTATTTTTAAAAATTGGCAACTTGGCAGTTGACATTTTGTCCCAGTACGTTTTGTCATGTGGCATTTTGTCGCATGACCAATTGACCGACCGCTCAGGCCAGCCCCCTCCGGCCGGCCAGGAAAAAATTTCTCTAACACCCCTCGCCCGATATTTGTCTCTCCAATAATCGTGTAGTCTATCATCAATCAATAATTTATTAGTGGACATATAGTAGTATGGTTACACATGTCACAAGTGAAAAATTGAATTTGTTTGGTCTACCACGGATAATTGTTGAGTAAATTATTTGCTATGAAATTTTCCCATAAATTACAATAATAATAATTTTCTCATAAACTTAAAAACGCTTTCTTTTCTAATATGTACATATAATTTTATTAAAAAGTTAAAAAAAATTAAACTTGAGGGATAATGAAATTTACTTATATAGTTAATTTTTTAATATTTCGGAGTCCCTCTTGTACATACCTCAGCTCAGTCCACGTAGATTTAATTTAAAAATCGAGATATGGGTCCCCAAAATTCGAAAAACCTTAAGGGGGATTAAGCTCAATTAAGGGGTGGAAAATTCGAATATGCAAACTTTTGGGTTGTTGTGAAAGTTAAAAATTATCTATGTAATTTAAACATCAAAACAATTAAGTACTTATAAAGTTAAAATTAAAGAACAGCATTTTTAAAGAAATTAAACAAAAAGGAAAAAAAGGCCAGAGCCCGATCTACTAAAATTTAGATGTATGTAATTTTATTTATTTTAATAAAAAAAATTTTATGTAAATTGTTTAATTTATTTAGTCAATTTCTTTACTTTTTGGACCTCGTCCAGCCTAAAAAATATTTTTTATAAATATTTTTAATTATTGTAACCTGTGATTTTTGTTGGCCTTTTTGTCCTGCTCCACGGGAACGGTGAGCAAGCCCACCAACTGAACGAGTGTTACGTCCTTTCATTGTCTCGTTTTTTATTTCCTCTCCTTCCTGTTGGCCTGCTAAATAATTTAAAATAAGTACAAATCGGGGCAAAATGAGTATATATTATTTATTAAGTATGTACTTGTGTGTAATCAGGTGCTGGATCAAAAATAAAAATCAAAAAACTTTGAATATCTCTTTATTCTTTTAATAAGGAATCTCTTCTATATGCTCTCTAATATCTCTTCTAAAAAATCCAGAAAAAATTTTGCCCTCACAAGGGAAGTAAATTAGTGAATTCAAGTTTGGTCAGGGACAAGCATGTCTGTGCGCGGAGTCTTAAAATTTTTTCTATATACATTTCATACTCGATATTATATTTTTAATACTCTTAATTTTTTTTGCATAACCTTGTCCATTAAAGTTTTTAAAAAATAATTACAAACATGTTTCCCCAACATTTTTTAATTCAACAGATCCACTTTCATTATTTGAAGTAATTTCTGTTTCATCATCTTTTTCCCCTTTTGAAAGTTCCTCAACTTCTCTTTTATGTTGTTGATGTTGTTTCTTTTCAGATGAATTAATTATTTTTGAAGGGGAACGTTTTTTAACGTTTATATTTTTCTTAAATTTAAATTAAAATATTTTTAGAGGTACCATAGATGCTGAAATAATGTTTCTCTCTCAGATAATTTCTCTTTCAGATAATTTACCCCCGCCCTATTAGTTACACCCTATACCCAGAGATCGAAAAAAATAACCCATCCTAAAAATAATTATAATTAGCCTTTCTAAAAAAGCTCAACGAATTACCCCCTCCCTTTTAATTACCCCCCCTCCAGCGAGAGGGTGAACATTTATTACCCGGGTAATTAATACAGTATAGTAAATACCTCTTTTGAATTATTCCAAGGACTTTCTATATCAGAAGAATTAAAAGAAGAAATATCAGATTTTTCAATTTCCTCATCATCATGTAGAGGAGTATCATCATCCTCGTCTCGTTTTGGACGAATTTCATTTCTCCCAAAACTTTTAATTAAATTAAAAATTTTTTGTTTATTTTTACCTTTGATTATTATTTTTATCATTTTCTGTCGATGATAAACCATCAGCCTGATTAGTTAACAAAATACCAGACAATGAGACGTTTAAAGAATCATTTTCAAAAAATTTAATTTTAATTAATTAAAATAATTTAAATTTATTTTAAAAAAATATTTTCGATTTTTTTGTTTTAGTAGAACGAAAAAATAATATTTTTTACTGAAAATAAATTTTCTAAATATTTTTTAATTAAAATTCTAACCATTCATATTTGAATGCTTGGGTGATACTAAAGAAAAATTAGCAGTAAATAACGAGTAACCAAGCAAGAAAATCGGAATCATTGAATTTGGGGAAATAAAATAATTCATTATTTTATAAAAATAATCTAAAAATTATTTAATAATTCAGGGGGAGAAAAAAGAATATTTAATTATTTAGAATGGCTATACCACGATGTACCGCAAGCCCAATGCACCCCCATGTTATAACTTTGTTCAAAATTGTCAAATCTGTGGCGCCCTGGTATGGTTCTATTCAGCTGGTCGCGCATCAAACCATACCAGGGCGCCACGGATTTGACAATTTTGAACAAAGTTATAGCTCTGCGGTACAATGAACTCGCGGTACACTGGCCTGCTCCCATTTAGAATATATTCTAGATAAATTCTATTTATTTTTAAATTCAAAAATCATTTTTCTTCTTATTTTTACACCCAAAAAATATCAAAATATGGATGTGTAAATTGTTGAAATTATTTTTAAAAATTTATTTCAATCCAAAAATATTTTAAATATTTTTATATACCCAATATTCTCTTCAATTTTAAATTTATGTTCGTTAAAGTCAATTAAAAAGAGTATTCCATAAAATAACAAAAAAATTCTTTTTATGAATTAACGGCCCTCAATTAAATTATTTTTAGTGAGGACATAACAAAGCAATTATATATCTAGATTTAATAATTATTTTTTAAATTGCCCAATTCAACCAAATAATAAATAAAAAATGATTGAAAGGTAAATTTAGAATTGAATTGTTTTGATGTGATCAATAAAAAAACTGCCAAAAATTTTATACAAATAAAATAATTATTTAAAGACTTTTTTTAATTTTTAAACGAATATATGTATATATACATAACAGGGATCCTGCCGACAAAAATCCAAAATTTCCGATTTCGGAAAATCGGAATCCCGATCCAAAAAAAGTAAAAAATTCCCGTTTTCGGGAATTGGGACGGCAGGATTCCTGATACACAAATGGACTAAAAAATAGAGAAAAAAGCTGAGGAAATCCATAAACTCTTGTTCCAATTAAATTGTTCTATTATCCTTCAATATGGCCCACAACACAATTTTAATATAAAAATTAGAGACCGGCAAAATCGTGTTTGCGGGACCCCGCATGCGGGATTTTTTTTAAAAATCTTTGCGGGACGGGATCCCGCGGGAAAAACCCCGCAAAATCCCGCATCCCGCAAAATCCCGCAATTTAAATTTGCGGGATCCCGCGCGGGATTGCGGGATTTTCCAAAAATCGTTGAAATTATCAATATCTATTGAAAAAAATCAATTTCCTAATCATTAACGAGTTCTTAACGGGTTCTTAACTTATCATACTTCGTACCAAATTACGAGTACATGTTGGTACAAGCGATAAGCACTTATCCAGGTCCCCAACTATCAAAAAAATCATAATGGGCAAACTTATACATATTCGTCGAAAAATTCGAGTATACGAATTAGAATAGCTTGAGCTGAAACAAATCTTGATCTAACAATTTGGACAATTTTGTTTCGATGAAATAAAGATAATTCCATGGACTTCAGGCGAAAATTTTGGAAGGCCAAGTCCATATTCCTTCCTTTTTCTGCGCCGCAGGCAAAAATTTCGAGATTTTATGAAGGTCAACGATCAAAATTCTTGTTTTTCTAGCGCCGCAGGCAAAAATTTTTTGAGTTTAGAAAGTTTGGAGCAAAAATTCCTTATTTTCCATAAATCCCGCAAAATTCAAAAAATTTTGCGGGAAAAATTTGCGGGATTTTTTTAAAAAATCTTTGCGGGACGGGATCCCGCGGGAAAAATCCCGCAAAATCCCGCATCCCGCAAATCGAAAAAAGTGCGGGATTGCGGGAGCGGGACCCCGCAAAATCCCGCGCGGGATCTCGTCCCGCGCCGGTCTCTAATAAAAATTGATATTTTAAAGGGACAGTAGTTACTGTATTTAAATATTAAATCGGCAATGAACCGTCACTGAAAATTAAAAAATAACAACCAATCTTTCGTCAAAAATTTTTCGTCAATTAATGTTTCTCCCTTTGTTAAAATTTTTTTTGTTTATTGTTAACATTTTTTATCACACATTTTGATTATGTTATAATTATTTAAAGAATTTTTCTTTTCTTCTTAAAATTCAAAAAAATCCGTGAGAAAATAAAATGAAAGGTGTTTCAGCAGGAAAAAGAAAAAGACGTTCAAAACCGAAAATTAAACCAACAAAATTTAAAAAACAACAAAAAAGAGAACAAAATAAAGAAGTTAAAACAGAAAAGAAACAAAATCCTTTTGATTTGGTTTTTAATAAAAAACATGGGGTTGGCTTTTAATTAAATATTTAAATATTTATTTTTAGGGTAATTCTAAAAAACAAGCAAGTGGATTTTTGGGGAAGTCAAAGGTAATTAATTTAAAATTAAATAAAAATTTTTAAATTTTATTTTTCTAAAAATACAAATGGGTATTTTGTTAATTTTTGGTTTATTTATTTTAGCCTTTTTCGGTTTTTCAATTCCTATTAGGGTTGGGGTTTTCGAGTCGGGCCGACGTTCTAGTCATTTTTCCCGTGCTTTATTCTTGTCGGTTCGGCCCGATCGAGTCAAATTTTTTGACAAAATTCGATGCCCTACTCGATCCTTCGGATCCGGGCCACCAACCCTAATTCCTATGTTTTTCCATTTTCACCTTCTTGAAAATATTGTGGGTTATGAAGATACTTGTGGATTATTCCAAACCAGTTTTTGCGGACAAATAAAGTAAAGAATGGTCAGACTATCTTTCTTCCTCCGTTTCACTCTAATTCTCTGATGAGGCATTCCGCAAAAACTGGGTTAGGATACTTTAGAAGTACAAGAATCGGAATATAAAAAATTACAGGCAATTGGTGGAAAACTCTGAGAAAAAAATTTTTTTAATTAAAAATAATTGTTAAATATTTATTTTTTGTTAAATGTTTCCTCTCAATTAGAACTATATTTTGAGGAAAAATTTCAAATTTTATTATGATGAAGATGTTTAATGCTTAAATTTTAATTTGCTTATTTTCCTTTAATCCTTAAATTAGGATCAACCAAGAAGATGAAGACCTTGGAGGTCAAATTACCCAAAAAGTCAAATACAAATTAGGTATGACTATGTGGGTCTTGACCTTCTGGGGTGGACCCCCTTAAATTAATGTTAAAAATGTCATATAGGGTGATAAAAGGTTTGATCATAATTTTAGCAGAAACATGGACCTATTTGGTCAAGAATTGAACGTGGTCTTCGGGTTTTTTAAAACTTTTGGTCTTAAAAACCTTAAGTGGGAACCGATTTTTCAATTCTTCTGACCTATAAAATAGCTACACTATTTTTTGCCTCGTACTTTGTCACATTTTTGCTCATACATCGTACAAAATGTGTGTGTCAATTGTACGAATTTTGTTAAACGTATGTGAAATTTGGTAAAATTTGGTCGTTTCTTCACTATTGATTTAATCAAGACGTAGACATTTACCGAAAAAGTTTAAAATTTTCAAAACAGGATTTTTTACTAACTTAACAAATCAAATCTTTTGTTGTATCCTTGTACAACAATAAAGAAGCAATACAATAATGTGTTTATTACACAATAGAAATACAAAATAGTTAATGAAATAGAATAAGGTTGGGGTATTTAGGATAAGCAATTAGGAGATACGGACTAACAATTATGTGAGACTTATAGTAACACCACCATAACATATTCAATATCAGTATATTCAATATCACTGATTCAGTCTCGAAGTCGTTCATAACTTTTTTGATTCTTAAACGATTTAAATAATCAGTATCTAGTGAAAGCAATCCTATTAGCTAAAATAATCGCATCCAGAGCTTCAGAATAATTATTTATATCGTTTGAAATATGGCTTAAAATATAGTCTCGAGACTAGGGAAAATGAATCGTCCTTACTAAATATCAACTACCGATGATAAATTTTGTTTTTATGAAGGATTTTGATAGGTATTAGTCTCTCCTTTGATTACTACAATATTTCATGATCACAATAACATTAATTATAATAATATTCCAACATTAGGACATCCTCGTACGAACTCCACGCAAAAAGAGCAGTTTTTGGATGGATCTGCCAATTAGACCTTGATCCAAAGATTTAACTTCCAAAGGCCCCTCATTACTCAACCCTTCACTTCTGCACGAACTAATGATGAAAAGCAAAATGTTGCTGTATTTTCAGCGCCTGCTGTGTATAATATTCCATTGAAGCATTACAACTAGATAAAATATGGATGGGATATTTTGGATGAGAAATTTAGTCAAAAACCGGTTTCGGTTAACCAAAAACCGGGGGTCAGTCAAAAACCGAAAACCGGGGGTAGAAAACCGGACATAACCGAAAACTGAGGGTAGGTTAATAACTGGTCGTGAGCAACCCTAGTATCAAGATTTGCCCTTCTCCTCCAGTCAAAATTTTTTATTGTGGTGCTAAAAAATAAAAGAATCTGGCTTCATGGTTTTTTTGAAGGAACTGGAACTCTTGCTCTCTATGTCCAATAATCTTGATCTAATCATGATAAGGGTCTTGAACATTAATTACATATTACATATATTACTGATATGTACATATTACTGACAAACATTTATGTGTGTAACTTTTCTCTACGGATTTTATTCTTTCATTAATTAAAATATATATATTTTAATTTAAATTTTTAAATTTTAGACATTGAATAATCAATTGATCAAGTTTATTTATTTAGATGAATCTGATTAATTGATCCATTGCTTATATTCTTGCCTATATTGGGGAATAGAGAGAGAGAGAAAGAGATGAAGGGAAGGGAGGAATGGGGAGGCACCTATCTTTACGAATCTCTTACAACTATAAATTATGCCTTACTACATATATATTATATATATTTATTAAATATATGTCTTTAATTTTCAAACAACCACAGGGAGTTAAAAAATTATACATATTATTTATTAGGTAATAATTTTTAATAAATATATTTACATGCTTACCGATTTATTATTTTAAATTTTAAAATTTCTTAATAAGTAATGTTTAATAAATGCTAATAATAATTTAATAATAATAGCAAAAATAAACAAAGTTTGCTTTCGATTTGATTGAAAATATTAATACATAAATATCATGTTTTTATTCTAACAGTATTCAAAAAAATAATTTTAGGACAATAAATCTTGTAAGAGATTGTTCCCTGCCTAGTCACTTTTAAATTACTTCGTTAGAGCGGGTTTTATGAATTATAAATGCCAAAATATTTATTATAATATGAAATCTATACATAAAAATTCTCTAAAAGGGGTGCTATTCGGCGAAAAATTTACCATAAACTGAAAACCTAAAAATATTTACTAAAAAAGTAAAAATGCGTTAATTAAGTGGCAAAAAGTACCGTATTCTCTCGATTAATTCCCCTGGGGAATTGATATTTCAACCCATCTGTGGGATGGGGAATTATTCGAGGGAGTGGAATTATTCGAGTTTTGCCATTTGAACGTGCAGTAGGGTATTTGGAGTTGGGGAATCATTATTTCAACCCGTCTCTGGCAGGGGGAATTATCGAGAGGGGAAATTATTCGAGGGAGGGGAATTAATCGAGCGGGGAAATCATTCGAGGGGGGGGGATTAATCGAGAAAATACGGCATTTGCAAATTTAGATTTATTCGAACTTATTTGCCATATTAAGGCTTAGATGTTTACTGTAATATTTTATTTTGAAGGAATAAAGTATTTATTAAAAGATAGGAGATAAATTAAAAAATTAAAATCATTATAAGCTTCGTAACTTCTAAAACAGCAATATCATTTATAAGATGTTTTTTTACCAAGTTTATAATGTTCCTGCTGAGGAAAAATTCATTGGATAGGAGATGATGGAATAGAACCATCATGGAAAGGGCCCACACCGAACGGCATTCCTTCCTGTTGGCCTGCTAAATAATTCAAAATAGGTACAAATCGGGGCAAAATAGGTATATTATTTATTAAGTATGTACTTGTGTGTTATCAGGTGCTGGATCAAAAATAAAAATTATAGAACTTTGAATAACTCTATTCTTTTAATAAGTAATCACTTCTATATGCTATCTAATTTCTCTTCTACAAAATCCAAAAAAATTTTTTACCACGCGCAAGGGAACTTGTGATATTCAAGTTCGGTCAGAGACAAGCATGTCAACTATTTTCTATATGCATTTCATTTTTTTCTTTATATGTACTTTTAATGTTTTCTGCATACTTTGTCCATTAAAGTTTTTAAAAAATAATTACAAACATGTTTCCCCAACATTTTTTAATTCAACAGATCCACTTTCATTATTTGAAGTAATTTCTGTTTCATCATCTTTTTCCCCCTTTGAAATTTCCTCAGCTTCTCTTTTATGTTGTTGATGCTGTTTCTTTTCAGATGAATTAATTATTTTTGAAGGGGAACGTTTTTTAACGTTTATATTTTTCTTAAATTTAATTTAAATTAAAATATTTGAAGGATACTTAAATGCTGAAATAATGCCCCTCTCTCAAATAATTACCCCCTCCCTTTTATTTACACTCTACAGCGAGAGTTAGAAACAGTAATTACACTGGGTAATTAATATTTTATAGTAACTACCTCTTTTGAATTATTCCAAGGACTTTCTAAATCAGAAGAATTAAAAGAAGAAATATCAGATTTCTCAATTTCTTCATCATCATGCAAAGGAGTATCATCATCCTCGTCTCGTTTTGGACGACTTTCATTTGTCCCAAAACTTTTAATTAAATTTAATATTTTTTGTTTATTTTTACCTCTGATTAAAATTTTTATCATTTTCTGACGAGGATAAACCATCAGCTTGATTAGTTGACAAAATACCAGACAATGAGACGTTTATAGAATCATTTTCAAAAAAAAATAAATTTTAATTTAGTTAAATATTTAATTATTTTTAAAAAATTATTTTAAAAATTATTTTCGATTTTTTTCATTTTAGTAGAACGAAAAATAATTTTCAAAAAAAATAAATTTTATAAATATTTTTTTAATTAAATTTCTAACCATTCATATTTGAATGCTTGGGTGATACTACAGAAAAATTAGCAGTAAGTAACGAGTAACCAAGCAAGAAAATCGGAATCATTGAATTTGGGAAAATAAAATAATTCATTATTTTATAAAAATAATCTGAAAAATTATTAAATAATGTAAGGGCATAAAAAAATTTAATTATTTAGAATGGCTATACCACGATGTACCGCGAGCCCAATGTACCGCCGAGTTATAACTTTGTTCAAAATTGTCAAATCCGTGGCGCCTGGTATGGTTCGATTCAACTGGACGGAACGCATCGAACCATACCAGGGCGCCACGGATTCGATAATTCTGAACAAAGTTATAGCTCGACGGGCTCGCGGTACACTGGCCTGTTCCCAATTAGAATGTATTCTGGATAAATTCTGATTATTTTTAAATTTAAAAATTAAAAATTCTACTTATTTTCACACCAAAAAATATCAAAATATGGATGTGTGAATTGTTAAAATTATTTTTAAAAATTTATATTTTCAATCCAAAAATATTTTAAATATTTTTATATACCCAATATTCTCTTCAATTTTAAATTTATGTTCGTTAAAGTCAATTAAAAAGAGTATTCCATAAAATAACAAAAAATCCTTTTTATGATTAACGGCCCTCAATTAAATATTATTTTTAGTGAGGACATAACAAAGCAATTATTTCTAGATTTAATAATTATTTTTTAAAT